GGAGGTGGGAGTTAAAGCTCCGCCTAACAGGGGACTCCGCCAGGCGCTCCCAGCAGACCCTCACAACACGTTTGGGCCTCCCGGGTCTCACCGGCATCCTCCCCCACCATCGGAGCCAACTCACCACCAGGTAGTGGTCGGTGGAAAGCTCCGCCCCCCTCTTGACCCGAGTGTCCAAAACATGCGGCCGCAGATCAGCTGAAACGACAACGAAGTCGATCATTGAACTGCGGCCGAGAGTGTCCTGGTGCCAGGTGCACATATGGACACTCTTATGTTTGAACATGGTGTTCGTTATGGACAATCCGTGCCGAGCACAGAAGTCCAAAAACAGAACACCGCTCGGGTTCAAGCTGGGGGGGCCATTCCTCCCAACCACGCCCCTCCAGGTCCCACTGTCGTTGCCCACGTGAGCGTTGAAGTCCCCCAGCAAAACGAGGGAGTCCCCAGGGGGGGCACCCTCCAGTACCCCCTCTAAGGACTCCAAAAAGGGTGGGTACTCTGTGCTGCCGCTAGGCGCATAGGCACAAACGACAGTCAGGACCCGTCCCCCCACCCGAAGGCGAAGGGATGCTACCCTCTCGCTCACTGGGGTAAACCCCAACGTACAGGCACCGAGATGGGGGGCAATGAGTATGCCCACTCCTGCTCGGCGCCTCTCACCGGGGGCAACTCCAGAGTAGCAAAGCGTCCAACCCCTCTCAAGAAGGCTGGTTCCAGAGCCAGAGCTGTGTGTCGAGGCGAGACCGACGATGTCCAGCCGGAATCTCTCCGCCTCGCACACTAACTCAGGCTCCTTCCCCGCCAGAGAGGTGACGTTCCACGTCCCTAGAGCCAGCTTCTGCAGCCGGGGATCAGTCCGCCAAGATCCCCGACTCCGGCCGCCGCCCAGGGCACAGCGCACCCGACCCCTATGGCCCCTCCCACGGGTGGTGGGCCCGTGCGAAGGGGGACCCATGTCTCCTCTTCGGGCTGGGCCCGGCCGGGCCCCATGGGTGAAGGCCCGGCCACCAGGCGCTCGCCATGGTGCCCCGCCCCTGGGCCTGGCTCCAGGGGGGGGGCCCCGGTAGCCCGCGCCCGGGCGAGGGTACTCTGGATCCATTTTCCTTTTTCATCATAAGGGGTCTTCTGGGCTGCGCTTCGTCTGATCCCTCACCTAGGACCTGTTTGCCTTGGGTGACCCTACCAGGGGCTTGAAGCCCCGGACAACATAGCTCCTAGGATCACTGGGACACTCAAACCCCTCCACCACGATAAGGTGGCAGCCCAGGGAGGGGCAGTGTCAACCAGGATCCTGGTTGACACTCAGCACATTTTAGAGCAGTGTCACAAAAGTCTCAATTCGCCATATGAGTTTCCTCAGTCTGTAATTCCACCTGAAATTAGCTTTAATCCCATTTTTTCCACCACTTGTGTTTGGTCTGTAATCTATACACAATGTCCTCTTGTGTTCAGAGTAAAGACTTAGTTCCATGTATTTTAAATAGATTAACTTACCACAAGCAATAAAAGCAGTACATATTTCACTATGACGGAATGGGAGGGGGGACTTGAAAAACATTTATATTTTTGTGAATGACATTAAAAGTACATGCAAGTGCCACGCATGCACTCCATATGTTGTCGACAGCTTGCCAGCTGTCTTTGGCAGTCACTATAAATGTACTTTGAAGAAAGACTAACAAAATACAGATTAGAGAGGCAGGTGGTCATAGAACTGAAAGACGCTGCGGAGGTGGTATATACGAGAAGACAAACTTAACTAAACATGAAGAAGTGGCTGTATAGAGTGAATTATAAGACGAAGTAAAACCAAATGGGTAAAACATATAGCTAACAAAATCCAATGAGACAAAATGTAAATCTGTAAACAAAGTGGCAATGACAGCCTAGTGTTAAACTATGTTTACTAGTCCTTTTCATTTTCAATAGATGTCAAGATAAAAATGTTGTAGATATTTTTAGTCAAATCTTGCGACAGACCTGCAGTGGATCAGATCAACTCTGTGTCAATCCACTTTCCGCAGATGGTTGCAGGTTGAACCGTCACAGGCTTTATCGCATCCATCACTCTATTAAAAGTTATAATGGAAAATCTGTGACTTCTTTTCGGTTTCTATTGGCAGTCTGACATTGGTATCGATAACCTCGCGCACCGGAGTTTTACAAGACCAGAAAAAAGGTTCTGCTGAGCATGCGGAGGCTACAATCACCTAAGAATCCCACAAACTCACCCGGCCGACTCCATCTCACCTCAGGCCTGTGGATCGGGCCCCAGTGTTGTGTAACTTGTTCTGTCAGTCTGACACGGTGGTCAAACGGCCAGTTGTCAGTGTGCGCATTGAGGAGATGAGACATGTCTTTGAATCGATGCCTCTAAACGCTCTGTAACTGAGAGTCTGATGACGAGATTTTATTTCCTTCCATCTTCTTAAGTCTGTAAAAAGTTTGGAGGTGGGAAATGAAGAAGAATGAAAGACTGGGACTGATTCCTGCTACGATTTGAAACATTGTGCGGCAGCTATTATCATCCAAATACATCCCCGTATACCTTGGAACATGGTGTATCTCTGCCTTTTTACACTAATAGAATATTCTGTCCCGAGACGCCTCCTGTTCACTCATTGAAAGGTGTTTCATACTCTTTGACTTGCAGCAGTTCACAGACTCTCTGTTGCTATTGTATCAGAGTAACCAGTGCTCATCAAGGCTCTGGAGATTTCTGCCTGAAGCCCCCCCTGGTTCCCTGTCATCCGCCTGCCACGGCCCACACTCCTCCTCCCTGCACCCTCTTACCAATGGTAATGAGTGGTAGACTTCACAGAGAAATATCTGTCCATTTCTTTTTTAAGTTTTGCTTCTGTGATTCTCCACCATTGATCTTGTCTTGTGTCTTCTGGTGAGCTCCTCGCTTCAAATTAGAGCCTTCCTTTTATTCTTTCACATGTTCCTCCACCCCCCCCCCCCCCAACTCTTCGCCAACCTCTTCCTCTAATCACTGTCACAGCCCAATGTTGACTTAGCCGCTATAAGCTTAGCATTTGCCCATAATATGGTCAGAACAGGACATAAAGTGTTGTCAAATAGTCATCTATAATCAGAATATTGTTCCCATTTTTTGCAAGACTATTTAGCACTCTGCTGTTACCCCAAGTCTATAGTCTCCCCGTTGTGTAAGCTGCAGGGATTATCTGGTGTCCTTCAAACACTCACTTATGAATACAAGATCTGGGGCATTGTTTAGAGTTGGCTCCACATGCCGTTCTGCACTCAATTAACTCGGTAAATAAAAGGCCTTGCTCCATTTTGGATGGATCCCGTGTCTGACATGAAAGAGGTTTCAGTCTCACAGGACCCACCAGCCTTGGCTCTCATCTATAGACTCCGTCTGTTCGCTGCATGAAGGGGCCCTTTTTATTCATCTTTTTTTTTTCTTCCAAACAAATTTGTTCAATGATAGTTGCGGTTCTGTTTCATGTGTTTTTGGGGTTTTTTCTTTTTTTTTGGGACGGAGCGGGTTCAGAGTGAATCCGGCGATTGAGAGTTTAGTTGTTGGTGGTTGCCGTGGGCAGCCTTTATCTGCGCTTTGTTGACCGGTCCCAGCCAGCAAAGCTGACATCCACAGAGAGAGGTGTATGCATGTACGTGTGTGGAGCGCACGATAGTGTGAGTGCTGGCACTGTCAGTCTCTCGCTCTGACCCACAGGGGGCAGACTAATGCCCTTATCAGTCGCTGACATACCGCCACCACATTTCCCCCTCTCACCCCGTCTGCCTCTCTCTGTGTCTTTTCCTTTCTTTTCACTTCACCCTCCACTTTCTCTCAATCTCTTTCTCTCTGTGTCTCTCCTCCCCACACAGACAGACACAACGCATTTGCTTCCTCCGTGCACGGCCCCACAGCTGCGAGGCACGCCTTTGGTGTCACGATAGCAGAGCCCGGGATGCCCAGAATGAAGCTGTGAGCTTTAAACTGGTTGTGGTTATTAGCATGCCTAGCAGTCAGGGTGTAGAAAAAGAAAAAAGAAAAAGAAAGATGCTTCTCATTGTTTGCTCACATCACTGCTCAGCTGCCACCCTCAGACCAGGAAAGCCAGAATTCATGCTGTGCCGTATCTGTCTTGGCTGGTGGTTGACATATAAGCGGCTTAGGTGAATGAATATCTGCACACTCTGGGCGCCGGTCTCATTTACAGGAATGGCTAAAACACGGCAGTGTGTGCACGGAAGCGTTTCCCGGTTTGTTTCATCTGCGTGAATCAAGCTGTCAGCGAACCCGTACTCAAACCATTAAGGGCCCGAACACTCGGTCGTGCAGGCGCATGCAGACAGCTGCGGGTTCTGCGGATCCGTAGTCACTCACGTTACTGTGCCCGTCTGTGCAAGCCAGTGCAACGATTTTACGGTCACCAACATACACAAACATCCGCCCGCACACCTTCCGTCGACTATATTTTCACCACACAAAAACTAATGGGCCGTTGGGTTCGTGCAGAGGCACAACATATAACTTACCCACAACCCACAAGCAGTGGTTTTCTTTAACTGTATATTTTTAACCACCTCGCACAAAAATCCTCTACGTCCCAATCTGCAGTCGCTAGCTACAGCAATGAGGTCCTCAGATCTCCTAAGGCTGTCTCCACTGTGCCAGCTGCTCTTTGTTATGAGTTTGGAATACTGCACCATTGTTATTCTACCTCTGGCTCCCAAAGCGTTTAGCACTGACTGACTGTTACATCTGACAAAATGGAGCATGGGAAAGGAAAGCGGGGGAGTTGAAAAACGAGTGATAGAGTGAGTGGAGATGATTAAAAAAAATGATACGGCGTTGAAAGAAAAAAATGGAGGAGCATGTTGGGAAAAGGAGGACAGTAGAAGGGATGAAATGGATAGAGAACGGGGGAGAGAAGTCTGGGTTGGGTGTCTAAATCCTGCAGCGGTCCCACACCTCATCTGCATATTGAACTGGCCCCGTGGCTGCCTCCTCTCTCCGAGGGTCAACTACCGTTGTTTTAGTTGGTTTAAACAGAGCGCAGCTCCGCAAAACAAGGACACCAGATAAGTCACGTTGTGTTTTTTAGCCCGAGATTCAGTCGGTGCGGGGAGCGTGCCTAGTTTTTAGCGGCCTGCTCCTTGTGTTTTATTTCACATTGACCGAGCTTTTGTCTTTGCCCCTGGACATTCCTGCATTAATGATACACACATGAATTAATCACGCAGCAAGGCAAACAGCAGCACACACTCTATGATAATGCAAAACAGGGGGGACGCCATTGGGTCATGCTATTTCTACCACAGCTTGTTTTTTTCTTGCTGCAGCATCCATGATAATTAGAGAACGGCAGTGATTTGTGCAGCAGACATGCTCCGCCGAGCAACCACAATATGAAGTTTTGCCAGGGTCTCGCTGCTCCCGAAAACTAACGCAAAGGAAAATAGCTGCCGGCGCAAATGCGGAGGGGCCCGGCAAAATGGCATCGAGCGAGGCGCACAGCACACAGGTGCTTCTGGACCTACTCAGCCAGCAAGCGATTGACAGGAGAGAGAATTGCTGAGATATGCCCCAGATCTTACGGCTGACTTTTGTCAAGGCCAAATTGTTTGCACCATGCGGATTTTCCTGACGTAGCTTCAGGAATTTTAAAACCATTCACCAACAGGACAGTTGAAAAGAACTGTTCTGTGAGACATTACAAGAGAATCTATGGTAAATAATTCATGCAACTCTTCCTTAATGCTAACTTAATGCTAGCTGACTGTTTTGTGGTCTTAAACACTGTGCTTCAAGTTCATGTTCCTCAAATCAATTGGTCAGTTTAGATTAGAACCATTGGTTGAATGTGGCTAAACAGGCTTGCTGACTAAATGAGTAATCACAGATCCTTTATCTGAAGCCCTGAGAAGGCTTTCACAAGTGCAGTTTCTGACATGTACTGTGTGCAAAAAAAAAAAGTTGGAAACTTTTTAAACAAGCCGCTATTTCTGCGAATTACATTGTTGTTGGATTTTACTTCCACAAAGGGACAGGTTTGTTTATAACATCTGGTTCAGTAGCAGAGTTTTAAAACAATAAATTATATCTAAATTGCAGTAACATGTTTAAAAAGATGTGTGGGTATTTTAGAAAAACAATATGTTGAGACATTTTTTTTTATTTAAATCATGTTCCACTGAAATGTAGCTTAGACATACAGTATCTATGACCAGAAGGCCAAATAGAAACGAGATACCACAGCTGTTTCTAAATCTGCTGTTCTTTCTACTCCTGCCATGTTTTGTTTTTTTTGGTAGTTGCTAAAGAACTGCCGGGCACAGGAGATACAAATTTCAGCATGGCTAGAATGCTGTATGCAGTCTCCAGATTACATGACAACACATTCCAAATTTTCCTTAGTGTATTTGAAATATTTTAAACTTTGGCTTTGTTGCTGGATCATAGTCACATATGACTCGATGGAGTTATATGTGGATGGGGCTTTAAAGGAAAATTATGCTGGCAGACCTTGATTTTTAGACATGTTCTTGATTTTCATGACGGAATCATGCCTGTTTTTAATGCCACTGCCCACTAAAGGCAAATCCCAGGCAACCAATACTGATATCCAGCCTTTTAATGTTGCCTCTGAAGTCTTTTAATCTTTTAATCAAGAGACTTTCTGTTTTTTGCACTGAATATAATTGTTTTGTAACATCTCCAAAATGGTGTAATGATTTTGCAGATAGCTGGAACTCTTAAAAACTCTGCCTCTCTAAGGTGCTCTTTTCATATGTCATGTTACAGACTACTGTTAACCTGTTGGAATGCCTTTTTTAACTAATTTGCTGCCATCATTTTTAAAATGAGCTAATATTGTTAATGAAACAGAAGAGAGTCTCACTTTCAGTATCTGACATGCTTTTTAAACTATTTGCTAATAACAGAGGATAGTTTCCAGGAAAAATACTCATTTAATTTCATGTCGTGTGTCAGCAGAAGTCAGTTGAGTCAAATAAAACCAACAGTTTGTGTGGTTTAACTCTTAAAAGTGTGTAGTGGTAGACTAAAATCCATTGTTAAGCTGTCAAGGTCAACGTATGCCTAAATTATACCAAACGTTTCTCAACACTGACTCCGAGAAATACATACATTTGGAAAATCAGACTTATTAATCACGACTGAACAGAGTAAATAAAAGAAACCACTGACTTTTTAAAAGATTGTGTCTGCAGTCACTGAGTCTGTGACTCCTGAATGCCTTATATTGTGATAGTTCCCTTTTTTGTGATTAACAGTTTGACATTAAGACATGTCTTCAGAGAATAAATCATTCTGGATTCTATCTTTGTACAAAATGAGCTGAGAAATGAGTTTTCACACTGCAGCCTTTTTTTCTCTGAGTGCAAAGCTGCGAGCCATCCTTTCTTAAACTTTGATGCTAGACAATTGGTTTCAACACACCAAACATTAGAAACCCCTCTGTGCCTCCAGCTGGGGGACCATCATTATTGCTCCCTTCCTCAGGAGTGAGGCCATTTTCTCAGTGTGCAGAACGCCACTGAGAGGTGGATTCTCACAGCAGAAATGTAATCAGTGGGAGAGCGTGGTGACTGGCGCACGGAGGATAGGCCCAGCCACCCTATCCCTTTCACCACAGGGAGGGAGACATGGAACAGAGCCTCATCAAAAAGGGCTATAAGGACGCCAGCAAGAGTGACCACCTCCCTTCTTTTAAGTCCGATGAGCACGATTTGGAGGCCCCGGGGCCACTTACATTACATGGATAAATTGTCTCACCTCACCAGTCCACTGCATTTATTCTTTAAAAATGAAGCCCCCTTTTTTAACGTTCATAAAGAGCCTTTATTTAATTCAATTTGAGACATCTCTTGTGGATTTCTGAGATGAGAATATTTCCTTTACATTACACACTAAATTCAAGTTATTGTATTGTATCGTATATTGGTTGTAACCAGGAGGACTTTTTTCTTGGACGGGGGCCACAGACTGTCAAAGGGTGGCACAATGATGTTAAGATTATTATAGATGCCAAATTACATCCTGCTCTCTCTCTCTCTCTTTCTCTCTCTTTCCCTATTTCGATCTGTCCCTAAAACAATAATGGCTATTTTGGGGTTAGATTTTCTTTTTTTTTTAAAAGGAAAGTTGCTTTTGTATCTAAATTAGTAAAAAATGTTAAGATTTGCTTCAAAAATACGGTTGCTATTTGAAATAGTCCTCCAAGGTATTTATTTCAGGCATACCGGGAAACAGGACAGCTTGGGTTGCTGTATTGTTTGTCACAGTAAGACAGAGTGGGCTAATAATCCAAGCAGTAGGTTGTTTTATTGTGGAAAAAAAGTCTACTGATCAGCTAACAAGCTGATTGACAGCTCTGGTTGGGGTGGCCGTTAGAGTGGCCAATTAGATGCCAGGAATGGGCGTTTCCACCCCAGTTGGACACGCCCCTGGTACTAACGATTATTGCTCTAAGGTGTAGATTAAGGATGGACATTAGTCTTAGTGGACGTAAATTTAGTCTCCCTGTTTTTATAGTAATGTGCTCGGTTGAACGCTACGCAGACTGACAGCTAGCTTGTTTGTAGTCAGAGTGTGTAGAGTGGCTTCAGAGAGATTACTGAAGCTCAATGTGTGTGGAACGAAGCCCCGAGTCAATAAGACATGCAGGCTCAAGGCCAGAGGCAGAGCCTCCATGTCAAAGGTGGAACACTCGCGCTAGTTGGTCTGTTTGTGTATGCCTCTTTTTGATTGACGGCCCGCCGGTCCCCAGAGGGGACTCTGCTTCCCACCATGAAGGGACAGACAGTTAGTTATGGGTGTCTTGTTAAAAGTTATGTCAGGCTGACAACATCAGTGTGATCATGGGAAGGGTGACACGTGTGTTCCTTTAACTGTTCGGGATGGCCACTGCTGGCAGCTGGCCTGTCAACCTCCACTGGGAAGCTGGCAGACTGACAGGGGGGA